TCCCAAAGGTCCAGCTGTCACCAGGGAGGGATTCTGCCTCTGCGCACCCTATAGTGACCTTTTTTTTCTCTCTCCCCCAAAGGCAAAGGGCACAGCTGGGGGAGTCCCCGCTGCTGATGTGGCCTCTGAGGATCCCCTCTGCCTGCCCTGAGCACGGCCCGTTTGGTGCATGGAGCAGACTTCTCAGTGGAAGAGTTAGAGAGAGAGAGGGGGGAACGAACGAATGCACACGCGCTGGAGCCAGACCTTCCCTGGCTCCTTCCTGACCAGCCCTGGAGCCCTGACATGTGACCTCTGACTCAACAAACCAGTGTTTGGAGGGCTGAATCCCTCACCCAGTGCCTTTCTGCACCCCCCCTCCCTTGGGAGCCCTCCCCAACCCCTCCCCCCCAGCCATTCCACTCAGCTGTGACCTTTATTTATTGTCCTCCCCTACTCTCCTCTCAGTCTACCCCATGTTTAAATTGGCTGTCGTCTGGGGTTGGGCAGGAAAGGCCTTCAGGCCCATCTTGTGGGCCCCCCACCCATGAGCACTGCAGTTTCAGAGGGGCACCACGCAGGCTTTCTCCATGTTTGTGTTAATGGAAGAAGAAATCCAAACCCTGAGCATTACCCTTCAAAGCCGAGCTTGGTCCCTAGAGAGGACAGTGGAGCCCAGAGCAGGTGGGGTGAGAGACTGACTCCCTCACCCTTTCCCTCTGCCTGCAGCTCCAGGAGGTGGGAGCNGGCTTGGCAAGAGGGAGGCCTGCCCTGGCCCTCTCTGTCCAAATGCCTACTGCTGGTGGCTGGTAGGAGTGACCTCCTGTGCCGGTGTCTGTTCTTTCCAGTGGTTTCCAGCGACAGTGACAGTGACTCGGATCTCAGCTCCTCCAGCCTGGAGGACAGACTCCCGCCCACGGGGGTCAGAGACCTGAAAGGCAACAAAATCTGGGGTGAATCAGGTAAGCATGAGATGCAACAGCTGCTTTCCAGAGCCCCCAGTGCAGGTGACTTTGCCGCTTCCTTGGGCCCTCGCTCCCCAGCCAGTGTCTGCAGAGTTGTTCTGTTGTAGATCAGGGAGGAGAAGTGTGCCTGGAGCTGGGACAACTAGAAGCTAAAGTCTTAGCACCACTGAAGAGCAGGGCGGAAAGGAGGCTCCGGAGTATATGCACACGGGAAGGAGAGTAGGTCCAGCGGCCTCCCTGACCCTCGGCCTGCACACCTGGGCTTCTTTCCCCAGCTTGCTGTGAGCATCCCAGATGAGATTTTTGCCTCGTGGAGGATGAGACTGTGAAAGTTAGGTACGAAGTCCTCTGGACTAGCTCAGTTCTGCCATGAAACTGCAGTGGGAGCCCAAATACATCCTATGACCTCTTGGGCCTTGGTTTCCTTCTATTTAGCACCAACAGGGTAGAACGGATGGTCTCCAAAGCTCCTTCGGAGTTTAACATCTCTGAGCTCACCTCTATGACTCTGTCATTTGAAAGAGAGTTAACTGGGGTCTTGAGGCTGGTACAGAGAAAGCACCAGCACGTTTTCCTCTCTGTTAAACACATGAAGGACCTTCCCAGCTGAAAGGACCAGCTCCATTCAGTTACTGAAAAGACCAGCTTCCTTCAGACTTACTCCAGAGGTTAGAACTAGGATATTTGAAAGACGTTTTAGGGAGGCTGATTTCAGTACATAGAAAGCTTTATAATAACTGCCCCAAACTGAAATGAAATGCCTCAGGGTGCTGTCCTGGGACAAAAGCTGGGCAATCTCCTGCCAGAGCTGATATGAAGCGAATTCCTGCAGGGGATGGCAGTTTGGGCTAGATCAGAAATGGCAAATGCCTGGCACACGTACTTCCACTCCCATTCCTATGTCCATGGCAGACATTACTAGTTGATCATGATATGCTTTCCCACAGAGCCTGCTGCAGTCTCAGAATGCCTCTCAGTGCAGTTTTCCAGGTGGTCAATATCAATAGGGGAAGAGATGAAAACGGTCCCTGGACTACATGATCTCTTAGGCTCCTCAGGTTAAAGAGCCTATCTTAGGAAAGTGTCAAAGAAACTTACCTGCCAGCCTTGGTTTCTACACTCCCCACCTTCCCCTTAACACCACAGCTCTTGAACCCTCCCTTCCCACCAACTCTCAGCTGTGACCAAGTGGGCCTGGAGGATAGGAAAAGATGGAGTGCAGCCTTACAGGCCACACCTCTGCTCTCTTAGCCAGGCAAGGACTAACAGCCACATCTGAGCGAGGATCATTTTCGTTAGTAAAGGCAGCAATTAATAATCCCATTGAGGTTACTGAAATATATACCCTTCCCACATACGCATACCTTCATTCTGTGAAGGCAAGAAAATTTACTCCACATTGCTGATTTTCATGTTGGTGACTTTACTTGTTCCTTAGTGAAAGGACCTGACGGCCCATATGATATTACATATCATAGACCAATCAGCAGTGGCTAGAGGGCAGGGTCATGCTAGAACTTGGCAGCCATTTGGGGGCAGGAAGTGGCTCTGAGCAGACAGTCCCATAGTCACCCATCACAGACCCAAATGAGAAGGCTTTACATCAGCTCCTCGTCTGGCTGAGACCATCCCTGTCTCAGTTTAAAGTCCGAAGGGCCCAGCACTGAGCCATTCAGGCCTACACATGGTCTCTCGCAGGTGGCAGTGTGGAGTCCCCCAGGATGGCGCTCACCCGCCCGCCCAGCCACCTCTCAGGGAGCCAAAGCAGCCTGGCCAGTGAGAGCGGGACGGGCCCTACAGACCCACAGAGAGGCACCCCACCCTGGCCGGACCCAAAGGGCTCCAGTGAGTACCCAGCTGCTGCTTCTAACCCCCTGACCTCCTCTCCCTCTCCTGCTCCCCCTTTCCCAGAGCCCTTCTCCTCTCTCACTCAATCCTCCAAAACTGGAAAGTGATAGATGAAGTTTTCAGTTCTCTGTGTTTACTGAGTACTGTGCAGGTACTGAAGGAACAGAGGTGAGCCAGACACCACCCCTGCCCGCAGTGAACAGAGGGGAACCCAAAGTAATAATGGTAACCATCCCTATTCATGCTCAGCAATTGTAACAATGGTTGTTACCATCCTCAGCTTTATAAAATGTGTAATCTTTCAAAGCATTTCCCCATCTCAGTAACGTCTCTGTGACTACAGTAACCCCTGTCTCAAGAGTTCCTACAGTGAGCCAGGCAACCCAGTCCTCACCAAGTCCCACCGTGGGCCCAGCTTCAGCCTGGGCTGGGGGTGGTGCAGAATAGTCCTTGACCTCTAGAAACCTACTATGTGGCCGAGGAGGCCAAATCTGCACCCAAAAAAGCCCAGCGCAGGCCAAGCCCAAATCAGAGGGAGAATTCGAGACCACCGGAGTTGGTGGCATTAGAGCCCAGCCTGCCCTTGTACTGCCAAGGTCAACTTTTATTCTATTGGAGGAGTAGGCAGGAGACTTATTCCCCCCATTTGATGGGTGTGGAAACCAAGGGCAAAAATCCAAGCTCCTACCGCTCCCCCATGCCCACTGTCCCTGCTCGGCCATCTTGGGATCCACAATAGGGGTGGGGTTGGGGAGGTCTCTTCGCACTCAAGCCAGAGAAAATTGTGCAAGTGATGTTCGGGCCCTAGTCTCCTTCATGAAAGAAGCCCCAGCTAGAATTGGTGCCCCCGGGGCCACAGGATCCATGGCGCGCCTGGCGCACGTGTGGGTGGCACAGCAGCTGAGCTCCCCAGCTGGTTAGTTGCAGGAGCCTGGGTGCACTGGCTGCCACCCACCAGAAAACCACAGCAGAGCTCTCCCTTGCTCCCCACTCTCCACCCTCCCTTCTTTCCCTTCCCCTCCACCTCACCTTCTCCCCCTTCCCCATCTAAGGGTTCCTCAGCAGCTGCAGGACAGGGCATGTAAAAGCGGCAGCAAGTGGGCAGGTCTCAGGGAGATGGGGGCCCCGTGGGCATGGCAGTGAAGTGGACCTTCTCCCCTCCCTCCAGCCTCCTGAAATCTTCCACAGAGGACAGTTTGGAATCAGGCAGGCCTAAGTTCTAGTCTTAGCCCTGCCACCCATAGCCATGAGAACTGGGGCAAACCACCAGGTTGAACCACATGAAATTGCATTTTTATAGGTCAAAAATAGTCGAATATTGGCAATTCGAGATGATTCAACCTAATAATTGATCTCCCTGCGCCCAGTTCCATTGT